CCACCAGAAATTGACGCTACCAAAAATCCTGCCACGATTGTAAACCGTTGGCAAAGGTTAAAAGCCCTACATCACACGTTTTGTAACCGATGGAAATCAGAGTACCTATCCGAACTCCAGAAACGAAACAAATGGAGACATCCTCAAGCCAACCTTAAAATTGGAGACCTCGTCATAATTAAGGAAGACAACCTACCACCGAATGAATGGAGACTCGGAAGATTCGTAAAATTATACCCAGGTTCGGATACTCGGGTACGAGTGGTGGACATCATGACCGAAAGAGGCCAGGTAACCAGACCACTGGTAAAATTGGTCCTACTACCACCCTGCAGTGAATCAAACGAGGAACCAACAGAGTCTTCGTAAACGAAGTCTCTCTATTTGCGTCTTCAACATGGAAGCAACCAGGTATTCCACTTCATAGGTACCTCGAATATTCCACGACTGAAGCCGCAAATATTAAATTTCATCAGTCAACCGCTTCTATACATTAGATATAAAGCTCGTAGTTGTGTTAAGCGGAAGTATATCAAAGGAAAAATACTCATTTTTGCTTAGCAAAATGTCTTAACAATCTCGTTCGATAACGCATATAAAATATATGCGTGCTTGACCATCTAAATAAAACCATAAGATTCAGTCGCAGAAGAAATAAGATACACATAACCAGAGCTGGGCACTATTCGAAGAAATTTAAGCCGTAATAATAATTCGCTGATATACCATTAACGAATGAATAATTCATTAAAAAATTCCTTATGAATAAATTATTCGTGATGTGTTTTGGATTTTAAATACGTTTAAAACAAATTTTAGTTTTCTATAATCACTGATAGGCAGTTAGTTGAGTTGTTTACTCTTATCACGAAAATGTATTTTATGTTCATTATTCAAATAACGAATAAAATAACACTCGCCATTCGAATAATTTTTCTTTGAGCAAACTAAATTATCTATAATTTACGAATAACGATAACTTTTGCCCAGCTCTACATACATATGTATGTATTTAGTTTTTCGCAGCCTAATAAGCAGGGAACGGATTTTATGGAAATTGCCTTTTTTTCTGCTAAAGAGATAGAGTATATTCGATTAAGAATGTCCACGATTTAGCTTTCTCTGATTCCATATATACACATTTGATGTTGCCTTTTTTAAGATATTTGCCTTTTTTTGCCTTTTCTACCTTTAAAAAAGTGATTATAGCATTTACAATTTTTTTTTTTTAAGATTAAAAAATATACACATGCCCATGCGGCTTATAGAAGCGCAGGGACCTCTTGCCAAACTGGTGTTGGAAAAATTTAAAGCCGTTTTCTCAGCTAACGTAGGCTTGAGAGACAATAAGGGGTGTGGATAAAATTGTAAAGGGCGAGGAAAACGCCCTTATTCCTGATAATATGAACGTTTCAAACGTTCCATATTTAAATTGGGCTCCACTTGTATCAACTTACGTCGAGCGCACATTTAGTACATTCAAGGCTTTTCTTCGCGAAAATCGAATGAAAATGCTGCCAGAAAACTTCAAAATGCATCTTGTGGTTCAATGTTACTACAACTATACAGATTAAAGTTTTATGAGTTAGAAACTCGAGAGGATAAAATAGTCAAAGATTCAAAGTACACATTTTTCATATAATGAAACTAGTTCATAGTTTTTCTCTGTTTACTTGTAATATAAACATTTCTAAAAAAAATATATTTTTTGATTGTTCTTCGTATTTTCTGTCTTTTTTTTAGTGCCTTATTTTGCTTTTTTTGCAATACCTTTTTTTTGCCTTTTCCTGCCTTTTTCGCTATTTTATTTTGCCTTTTTTTGCCTTTTTTACAATACCTAGTGCCTTTTCCTGCCTTTTTCGCTATTTTATTTTGCCTTTCCAGCCTATTTCGTTACTTTATTTTGCCTTTTTATAGGTTTTTAGGTCCTAAAAATCCGTTCCCTGTTAATAAGAGTCGACTCTAACGCTTATACGTATGAACGTTTAACGACTCAGTAAAAACTTGTACTATAAGGTAATGGTTCTCTACCCGAGTTCCCCGGGGCGACCTGGTAATATAAAACCTACCATCGTGAGATCTACATATGCCAATAATAATGAAATAAAAGGGGCCATTCTGCCCAACGACCGATTCTCCTCTCATGAAAGAATTTTATATCTACCTGATCCCCTAATAGCTGAAATATCAAAACATGAAGACTATGGGCTTTACCAAAAACCTTTCTTTCGTTAACGTTTTCTTTTTTTTAAATCCGAAATGTTCAATAAATATTAATGTTCAGAGCTCATAAGCTGTCTCTTAGCCATTTTACAAAGAAAAAGAAATGTTGGGAAAGTCTTAAGTTGCCTTGTGAATTGTGCGAATCTTACATATGCCTTGTATTACCTAAGCAAAAACCGCATTCACAAAAGACCGATTCGATTCAACACATATTTCTTTCAAACGTTTCTTCCTCAGTCCTTATAACGCACTCGACGAAACCGTGTTCAATCGTACACAAGATCTGTTGATTCTACTCGACATTTGTGAATTAATATTTGCGTGCTGGACCGAAATGGAAGGGAAGAGTAATACAAGTGTACTATGACAAGAACTCCAATAAAAAACGGGATGTATAAAGAATACCAGCCAAATTTGACTTCTCGTTAAATGCATCATGCGTTGATACTTGCTTTCAACCGATGTGATAAACAAAAAAAACTGATTTCAAAACAATTGAGTCAATACGCTTTTCGAATTCAGCCCTTATTGCAATTTTGGTTAGGCATCCGTTTTGAACTGAGCGAACTGAGTCAAATTACTATATGTGTCGGTACAAACAAGGCATACGTACATACATAACAAGGTTAAGGTACTCACGGTATCCGGAAGAAATTACCAGCCAAACATAATGAAGGTTTCCACTAAAGAGAAATCCGCTGCAGGACGGTGGCGTTTAACCAGAATTTGAACTCCCAACAAAGTACGTTCGTATCAATAATAGTGGCTGTTAGAAAAACCGAAAGCATTAAGAAAACGTAACAAATAAAAATTGGTAAAATAAAGGCAATTAATATAAATACTAAACCCCTTGTAATCCCGTCGCCGCCTTTGCTGCAGTAGATTATTCGGATGGGAAATGTATTTCTTCGAAAAAATCATGCATATCCCTATTACATCTGTGGTCGGTATTATGATCAACTTAGACTAACAAAGCATATGGCAGTTCCTTAACCTAGTACATATATACCTTGCGTGCTTGTATAGCTGCAGATAAATTATCATCATCGCGGTGGCGCCGGAGGTATGTTTATGTTGTTAATTTTTGGTGTTTTTGTTTGGTGGTAGTTAGTTTCAATCTTGTGCCAGAAGAGGATCAGCTGCTTGAGAGCACTATAGATAATTTAATCTCGCTGCTGATTTCTTTGTGAAAAAAAAAATTTAGTATTTAGTAGTATTTTAATCATGAAATTACCCAACTTAAGCTGCGTAGGTCACTATGTATGTATTTATTGAGTGGCCCCCTTATTTTTTAAGATTTCGTTTTTAGAATATTGGTTTGATAGCTTTTTATTACTTGTAACACGTACCTTAGACCACAATGTGTACCACATCAGCATTAGTTAGCGTTAAAAGCAGCTGCCATTATTCCCACGTGCCAGGTTTTTCGGTCTATCCAATGGATCACAATTATGTTTGGGGGAATGAGATACTACATCCGCATTATTGAAATCTGATGCCCTTATATTATATTATTATATTGGCGTAGCTTCCTTATTTACATGCGTATGTATGCAAGTATGAATATCCAATATATTTTCTACATCGGAAATTTAACATTTCTTCAAGTAACGTTGAATTGCATTTTATTCAGTCTGGATTATGTGAAATATATATCATTAACAGGGCATTTAAACAAGAAGATATGTACATACATATGTATATGTATGAATATTTTACTGTCTTTTATTCCATTGCCATCGGCCGCGGTGGTGCAGTGGTAAGCAGTGCGCGCTTCCACTCCACAATGCCTGGGTTCAAACCCTGGTCAAAGCAACATCGCAAAAATATAGAAAAAAGGTTTTTTCTTAACAGCGGTCGTCCCTCGGCAGGCAATGGCAAACCCCCGTGTATTTCTGCCATGAAAAACAGCTTCTCATAAAAATACAATCGCCGTTCGGAGTCGGCGTAAAACTGTAGGTCCCTCCGCTTTGTGTGACAACATCAAGGCGCATGCCACAAATCGGAGGAGAAGCTCGGCCAAACACTAACATATGTGTAAGCGCCAATCTATTATTATTATTATTCCATTGCCATCACTTCGTTGAAATTTTATTCTATATAAAACACTGCTGCACCTCAACTGCCTATGGACACAATAAAATAATTCACATTCGATGATTAAATTAACGCCGCAGTGTAAAAGCACCCGTAGAATGGTGTTGCAGTATATAAAAACTCGTTTTAATCGAAACTTTGTTTTTTCGGCTATATTTGTTATTATTTATTGGCCCAGATGTACATATTGAATGAACTAACATATTTTAAATATTTACGGAACTACCATTTGTATGCAACCCTGCCTATCCTATAATTCGAAAAATTTAAACGGATTTCTTCAAATCAACCTGAGCTGCGGACATATTGCGAATACATTTTTCAACATTAACCACTACATTATATTAGTATTAAATACTTTCAATTAAGAAACAATTCTTATTAGAAAATAAATATGAATCGTTTTATTTTAAATATTCCAATGTATATTTTTTGTTAATGCAGAAAGTGCGGATTTAACGTATTTTAAAACTGTTACATGGGGAACATAAATTTAAGGCAGATTGCTATTAACAATTTTTACACAATTTACGATTGCAATCAATTTCTTTCAAAACTATAATCTAAATGATTGCAAGTTGTATTTTTTACGATCAAAACAGATTCCAATATTAGGTATATTATGCAAATGCAATCCAATTTGATTTGAGTTATTCAGTTTTAGATACATTTATATTTCTGTGTTCGTATGGAATAGTAGTTTATGTCGGGAAGCTGGCTTTAGTATAATCCGGCATTCCCTTTATTATTTACAACACAAGGAATTTTTTGATGACCCTTAACAAGAATATGGACGTGCTAGTATCGGAACTATTTCTTGCACGTTTATTTGCCAAAATTTCTTCAACGGCTCGGCGCCAGTGAGGGTATGCTGCGAATGCCGCATTATACTAAAACCAGCCTTTTGACATAAGCTACTATTCCATACGAGTGGGGCACGTGCGAAATGCGGATTTTCCCAGTTGCAGTACTGCAGTAACTCGACACCTTCCTCACCAACAGCTCTGTCCTCTATGAGCTTCTTAATGTAACTGCAAATAAAAGATGGAAATTTAAGAAAAATTACTATCACAGCGTTTCACTTGTAGCGTTTCACTCTTGTAGTATATTGGCTATCAAGCACCAGAAAATTTCCATCACGCATTCCATATGCCACCGATTGTCGTGGATCAATTAAAATACTGTCATCACAGCTTTTTGGTACTCCAGCAACTGGTGTGTCTATGGCGGAGTTATGTGGAGCTGTTGCATGACTAAAATCAATTTGGGCTCTTTGAGAACTGGCTTGTTTGTTGCGAGCTATTGGCATCAAATGTATGCAAATTAGATTTCCAAACGAGCAACTGTTGAATACAGGAAAAAATTTATATTATATGGTTCCGCTAAAGTGCACTACTACCGTGTATAAATTGGTCGACCTTCTAATAAATCAAGCAATCTTATTGTATCGTCATCGCCGCCAGTCACCAAGAAATTTCCACTTGGGTGAAATGCAACATCATTCTCCGGCGACGAATGCACTGTATTAGCTCGCCTTCAGCTTTGTCAAATATCTTAACGCGGTTACAACTTAATGCTAAAGCCACCAGATTGCCGTCTGGATGCCATGCCAGCTGTCGTCCCATACCTCTTCCCCCGGTGAACGTTCGCATACATTCGCCTGAAAATGTATCGCAAATTCTTAACTTGTCGCCGCACGATGAAATGAACTTACCATTAGGGCTGAATTTTGCTGCGCGCACCCATTTGTTTGTCCAGTGAAAGATGTGTATTTTGAATCAGTATTTTGATGGCTGTTCGCCATTTTTCTAGTCCGCAAACGAATAAGCTGACGAAGATGCAAACAAATTCATGCACATTGTTGCATTCTACCGTACTTTTTAAAAGCTTTAAAATCTTAAGACATATGCGGAAAACTTTTATAATCTGAATATTTCTAATGTCGCAATCAAAACGAAATTTTATAAATAGCATTTTTAAAAAGCAATCATCTAATATTTTTCAAGTTTTTGGGCATATATGTTACCATTTGAACAACAAATACTACCAAGTTTTAAGAGACTATTTAATGCAACTCAGGTCAAAAAAGAGAAGTTTAGACCAAAATAAGCAACTATAAAAAACAGATGATCGCAGCTGTGGCCCAGGATGACGTCTATTGCTAAGATATCTCACTTGTATTTGTACACAATGGCCTCGTGGCAGCCAAGGCGTATTTAACAAGGTGGTGTTGGCCGTATATAAGTAAAAAATTACACTAACAAATTATACGCTGATGGCCATACTGTCATTGGTATGAGTTACAACAAACACATCATTTTGACGTAATGGCCTCCACGGCGAAAAACTCAGATGTCGCCCCAACACCACCTTGTTTAATACACCTTGGTGGCAGCTTTATTTTTCTTCAATGACATTTTTATTCATTGAGGATATTGCAAAGTTTTCTGCAGGTGATTAGAGACGAGTTGTCAATGCGAGTGATAGAGATGTGCAATAAAACTCGGTACTTTAGAAAACCCGGGTTGTTTCGTTTTTGCTGTTTGATTAATGGAAATGCGTCCGTTTCGGGTTTAATATTTTTTTGTTTCGGTAAATAAATAAAAACCCATCTAAGAATTGGGTGGATACCAAATTTCTTCTTCATAAATTTGGTAATTTTCTGAAGACCATTTTTTTTATTTATAAGGGCTCAATTTATTTGTGCACCCTAGTCACTTTTTCAACCCCGTCTCATCTCGGAGAAAAGTTACCGATTGACACACAGCCTAACTCTGAAAATATTTATAAAAGATTAAAGACAACCGGTTCTTTGTAAAGGACGTCCATCTCTAACTAGAACGGCGCCATCTGTTGTTCGTGAGCAGAAAACATAAGCGACGATATTCGCTAAAACGGAAATATGCCACTTATTCAAGAAATGTACGTATGTACATGATTCAATAATACAAGGTTCGATAAACTGACAGTTGTCTCTCTCGCACCGCTCCCTTAGCAGTGGCACCGTGTTGCTTCTTTGCAAATTTACATGGAAACAGTGTAGCTTTGATGTGAAATAAAAGTATAAGCTTTTGTGCAATATGTTTATTTGTATATGCATATGAAGCATATTTAACTGATGAAAACGTAAGCATTGGATGTTTACATCAATCTCATAGTAGTCTTATTTTATTTTTGAGGCATTTCGCAGTTTTTATACGGCTAAATAGCATATAAAAAACGTAATTCACGTAGATATATCAATATTACGTTCAACATTTCGTTTAAAATTCCAGATTTCCTGCAAATACATTAGAATTTACGAAAGGAATTTCACTATTAATTGCCTACTTTTAGTACTTTTCTACTACCATTTTCGCAACAAGGGATTGCATTCTTGCCCTTTCTCTGTCCTTCGTAAATGCAACCTTTTGTAAGGGAGTGTCAAACCGCAGCTGTCAATAATTATCTAACCTTGTATTATTGAATCATGCGTATGTACTTGCATCCGTGCAAATTTGTGACAACAGACTACTATTGGCATTCGGAATGGTAAAGTTCACCACCAACCAAATATTTATTTTTGCCACCCTTCTTCAGGTGGCAGGAAAAGGTGAGAAAACAAAGCTAACCATAATCATCATGTAATTTTGCATTCACTCGTTCGGGAAATTCTTTTCAAATTTCTCACACGTATGGATGGCCACTCGTATGAGTTTGTGATTGGTTTTTTTTTTCATATTCAACTGGATATAATTTTCTGCAAACAAAACTCACATTATTGTTCATTTAATATATGTCAATATGGCAGCTCACGGATGAGCGTTGATGTCAAAAATCGATAAAAATGTATCGCTAGATGAACATTAAGGAGCAAACACACTCGGTATAAGCTCGTGTAATATTATGCACACTATACACTATCACATACTACGTTTATACGCACGTATTATTTGCAAACAATTTGCAAAATGGTAAACTTTGCCGCATAAACGCTGAGTAAATTTATTATTTGCAATAACTAAGTCACGCAAATAAATATTGATTAGCAGTACTATTTGCAAATAAGCGCAAGACGTTGCCATTCTTAGGTTTATTTTCTTTTTAGATGGCCATCTTATTGCCTTTTTATAATCAAAACGGTGCCATTTCTAGCTTTCCTTTCTTTTTCGATAGTCATATTATTGCGTTTTTATAATCAATCAATATTGAAAAAGAAAATTTCACCCTCGAATAAACCGTGAGTTAGGTATTTGCAAATTAATTTTATTTGCAGATGGCTGACGTATAAACGAAGTAACAAAATAGTCATTTATGAAGCTGAAACCACACGTATCATAAAATAATTGAACACATTAATTAAGAAATTCATAATAATTACATATAATTAAGTTTCATTCCTACTCGCCACCCAACCATGATATTAAGAATAAATATTAATAGTTTTATACATACATATATCAATAATAGTAAATATTGATACGAGCAATGAATTTACGATCGAAACATCGACAAAATTACAAATTTCAGGTAATTATGACTCGCTTTACAATGTTAAGAAAGAAAGCAGAACGCCGCACTCATCGTTATCCGATGGCATGCCGACTTTGCGATGGTAAGCACCCGATCAGATTATGCCCGGTATATCGGGCAAAGGCCCCAGAAGAGCGATTTAGAGAATCTCTGCTCGGGCGTTTTTGTAGCAACTGTCTGTCAATGACGCATCGCGTACAAAGGTGCACCAGCCTGGATCGATGCCGTCGATGCCACGATAAGCACCATACCATATTGCACATCGACGAAGAGCCAATCGACCGAAGACCGTGGAGCCAGCAGGTCGCCAGCGAGGAGGAACGGGAAAACGTTCTGTCAATTCACGCTTCGGACTCCGGAACGGATTCCCAATCCCTCCGCCCTGACATTGAAGAAGGCGAAATAATCGAACCTGTGACGGAAGCAGGCACTATCCTCCCTAGTTCGACGAGGGGATCGGAAACGCGGACTTTCCGACTCCGGCAGACGCACAATAGACGGCAGCGTGGATCGGAAACACGGAATTTCCGATCCCGGCACCGACAGCGCCGTGGATCGGAAACTCGGTCTTTACGCCCACGATCCATTCGAAAGGCGTCTTACCGTCAGGACGAACAGCAAAAGCGCAGTGGAGCGGAAACTCTGTCTTTCCGCCCACGATTCACAAGAAAAGCGTCTTACCGTCTGGACGAACATCGACAGCGCCGTGGAGCGGAACCTCGGACTTTCCGCCCACAGCACATACGCAACGCGATTTCCAGATGCAACGGGCAACGGGGTGGACTGGAGACTCGGCCTCTCCAGCTACCCATCGCATTAAAAACTGGCCAGGTAACGCTCACCGCGCAGACCTTGAGACCATTTACGGCAATTGCCCCCACAGCTGTGGTCAAGGTAGAATCGGGAGGACGCCTACATCTTGTACGCACTTTAGTTGATATGTGCGCACTAACGTCCGTAATAGCAGCTGATCTGGTGCGGAAATTGGGCCTTGAGGAGATTGGTCTCGGGAAGCACCGAAGCTGCATTATTCGGATAAGAGGTAAGCATGGGCAAGGCGCTCGGATAGCAGTGCACGCAACCGTGGTCGCAAACTATAGGCAGCTAAGCCCCACAGCTAGCGTTGACCGCTCGATAGCTACGACATATGCCAATATTCGGCTGGCAAATCCAAATTTTTTCTTATCCGCTCCGATCCGCTTGGTCAGATGGGAGCAGATGTCTATCCGTAGATTATTCTTCCGGGCACCCTGCCTACCTCCTTCGGTCCTCTCGTGGCACAAAGTAGCATCTTCGGCTGGCTACTGTCAGGGGCTTGCCGATCCTGAATCACTGTCATGAAATATACTTACCTTTTTAGGTTTTCTAAAATTTCTCGATAGCTATGAATTACAAACTGCAATATATATTTTTGAATTTTTAATAAATATACAATTGTGCACTGAAATGTCAAGCCATGTCCTCTTTATTTAATTTCTTATCTTCTACAGCCTGAGAAATCCGAAAGGAGCATCAATGGTGATGACTACGTATCCAGCTCAATCAATATTTATTTTACAATTCCTTTAATTGCTCATATGTAGGAGGGGTGGCTGACTTGACTTACTGCTCTTGCTTCGAGCAAGGGGCCGGCATGTTTACGCCTCCATGCTAAACCAAACACTTAAAAAAGGGTGAACCACCCTAATGTAAAATTGCATAAATGTGCATCGGATGCACACATACATAAATAACCTGATTAATGCTAAGCCGTTAGCATGTCCGTGTATTAGTTTACCGCTTAAATATAAAACTTCGTTGAGTTTCCCCTCCAAACAGTTGGTTGCTTGGAGGTCAAACTTAACATCTCACAAAATTTGCCGGGCACTTCTATCGAGCACTTCGACCACACCGGAAGCGATCCAGCCACTACTCCTGCGTATTTCTCAAGGTAATATCGTACACCAAAAATCACAATACACATTTCACCAATTTGACTAATAAAGCCACTTTGGTATATATTGAACTAATCCGTGGTGTTTGTTTTTGATTATTTCATTTCAAAATTAAACCCTTGGTGCAACCACGAGCGACGCTGCCCCAAGTGTTTTCAGCTGGTTCTAACAAGTATAGTATAGAGCCTTTTCCTTTAAATTCTGTAATTAAATAGGCACGCATACCATTTTGTAAATAAAACATATTTCATTTTATTTGTAAATAGCTATTTGTTTTGCACTAATTTACGTTTTGTCTGAAAATAGGAACATAAAGTGTCTGTTACTCCTTCGTTTTCTAAAACCGTTATTCTTAAAATAAGTTAGTTTGTATTATTTCTGTGATACTAATTAATTAATTAATGTGCTATTCGAAATATTCCAAAAATCCTTTGATCAAAAAGTTTGGGATTTCAATAATTAATGAGAAAGTGCTAATTGAAATACATGTGGTCGGTGAACTTTCGGTAAAACTCAGAAATGTAGACTCGATGTGTCGTTCTTTTGCTCACGTTGCGTTTGAACCGTCCAGCTCTGCATCTCTTTTGCAGTAGTTCAGAGACAGTTCTGAAATTTGTAGGGCGGATGTAGCGCTTTTCCAGACTGTCCCTTAAATTTGCTGCAGGGTAGGAACATACCTATGTACATATATTAAATTGAAAAGAGAAAATACTAATCAAAAGATTAACATTTTTATAAATTAGTTTTTATACATACATACATACATATGTATGTGTTTAGGGATTTAGATCTTACTTAAAAATCGGTATGTACATACATGCATATGTAATTAAACTTAAAATTGTACTTCCTCACTCCTGTACTTCACTTCATTGACCGACTTCTAGAGGTGCAAAACTATCGATAGTATCGATGTTTTTTATTTTTTGCTACCGTCGATTGTTCTTGGTCCTATCGATAGTCCGACAGACATGTGATTCAGTATTTATGTTAGTTTTATTTCTACTTTTCTCTTCATTTCTCTTAAACATCCAAGTTGAACTAAAAATTTGGTTGCTACTTTTTTAAAAGAGTAATGAAAAATTTGGAAAAGGACGGAAAACCTTGCATCTTTTAAAATACTGCTTACTCCAGTAAAAGCTGATACAAATTAACTTATACCAAAACTTTCAATATTATCTAATCACCATTATTTACTATTTTATAAAAGGTTAACAAAACTATTACTTTTCAGATGAAAAAATGGTTTCAATTTACTTAGGATATCTAAAACCACAAATATAAAATTTCAGAACGCACAATTTTTTTTAATTTCAATTAATTTAAAAATTTCAATAACTTTACTTCTAACTTAACGGTTAAACAATTAAAAAAAAAACTGTCCAGTAGTTTACAAGGGTATCCAAACGTCTTTCCGAATATATTTTTAAGGATATCTTTATACCAAAATTGAGCGAAAACCATATAAATACGATACATCGATAGTTTTGAAAATAATATCGAATACAATCGATGGTCTGACTATCGATACTTTTGCACCTCTACTGACTGAAGTCATTCGCTGTTAAACAATTCAAAACATGATTTTTATGCGATGAAATTTTCCACAGAAAGTAACGCTAGAAAAGAATTTTTGGCTATTCATTATATTTTTCAGCTGACTATGGTGAAGCATTCTACTTGGCATTCCCCGTAATGAATCAAATCAGCGAAATTAATAAAATATTGTCGAACATGCTGCTATGCATCACCGGCAATGCCAAAAAGAAGCGAACAAACTAGAAGACATTATAAGGCAATGCGTTCTAGAACACATTACCACTAAAAGCGAGTACCACTTTTTTGCTGGGAGAGTGCATTATAAACATTTCGATCACAAAATGTCTCCTAAACGGACAAAATTCAAAAATATCCCAAGCAATTTTTGTAGTCGTTTTGATAGAAACGAAATTGGTGATTTCCCTTTTAACATGTATGCACACATTCAAATAGAAGGAATAGAAATAAGTTGCGAGTGAATAGTACATCGTACGATGAGGCGTTGAAACTTGATGCCCGTTTGAAACAATTTCCAAAAAAATTACTTTTTAGCTTTTCAACGGACAAAAAATACCGTCCTTTTTAAAATGAATACTTTAAATTGGAACAATCAATGTTTAAGCAGTCAACCATTACAAACTTTTTCAATCAAAATAGTATAGAAATGTAATAACTTGTATAATATATTTAATCTACATACATATATACATATACATATGTAATAATTATATGAATGTTTGTATATGTAATACTCATTATTAAATATTCCTTAATTAGTTAAATTTCTGATAAATGTATACATGTTTTTGGTAACCCTACCCTCCTCTCCCCCCTTCATACTAAAACACAGCGACGGAGGGTGTCCGGTTATGAGGAGTTTCACTGTATTCATGTAGTAGCGACAGTGGGTACAAAAACATAGAATTACCTTACAAATTTTCCGCACAATTATCACGTTTATGCGTAGTCCAATTCACGCAGTAATTTCATGAATTTGGGTAAAAACTCAGTGCAGTGGTGTTCATGCACTAAGTTTCTACTCAAATTCATGAAATGATGTCATGAATTGGCCTACGCATAATGGCAGTAAACCACAGCATTGATTACATCAAACACATCATTTTAACATAGTACAAGCCATAAACGTTGCGACCGTTGGTTCAGACCGATCCGCAATCAAGTTGGACATTTTGCCCAAAAACATTACATTTTTGCGGGTATTCTCATTGTAAAACCTCATTTTTACAATTTCATAGTTTCGGCATAAATTCAACAAAAGCACGTAAGTATTTCGACTGAGTTATCCATTTTGGGTTATTTAGTTAACAAAATAAACGCAAAATTTAACGACTTTGTCCAACATGGCATGTAGCGACGAGTTGTACAACTTGGAAGAAAATCAAAATTATTTGATCTCTAATACAACTACAACACAAATTTATTCGATAGGCCCAAAAGCCACGTTTATGGCTTTCTTTAAGAAGCACCGGGGCTAAAATTTCAACTGCTCCTGTAACACTACCTTATATGAGTTCGCCTTACTATCATCCTCACATATATTCATCGGAGTACTACCATGCCCACCTTTAGTTCATAGACTTTGAAATATGTCTGGTTCAATATTGTATGAACTAAAAGTGCGAAGTGTATGAACTAAAGCTGAAGCTCCATAGCAGCTTTTTGGGGCGTTGCGGCTTGAGGCGCTCAAACCTGAAAGATGATTTTGTGCAGTTGTATAGAAGCTGTTCCACAACCGAAGTCCGAAGAGCCTGAAACGTATCAATTTTATCGAACTGAAATTGTACAGTTGATGTCTCATTTGTCGGAAAACTCATCCCAACACTTCTGGGTATTTGTCAACAAACTAATTTCTATAATTTGCTACTAAATCATTTACTATTTTATAAATTAATCATTTAAAATTTTAAAAAGAGGAATGAGAATGTTTGCAAATATTTACTGCATGTGTAATGTAAAGTAAGTTCAAGCGCGAAAAGCTTGTTGCGGAGTTGCTCGCATGAAAAGCTTGTGAAGCCTAAAATAAGGCGAATCCATATAAGGTGGTGTTAATTGATCAACTGATTGGATATTTTTGGATCTACACTAGTAAAGAAGAATGTCAGCCAAGACGAAATGGCAAAACGTTTTGTTTACGTTAAAATCTTATTGTAAAAATGACAATTGTGCAAAAGGAGTGAAAATTTCGTGAAAATTTTATGAAAATTATATTTCTTAGCGCAAATTTATGGACATTTATAGTAAAAACGTGTAAGACATTATACAAATAAGAGCGGAGCAGGACATTTTTTCATTGTTCCAATCAATTATTTGGAACGGATCGTGTGGTCTAAATCATGCCGAATGCATCTTGGAACTAGAGATTACGTTTGTTCCCATCACTTTTCACGCGCGGATATGATATGCGGTGGTACACAAGCCAGATTGCTGGCCAAAGCTATTCCATTCGCACCATCGTCACAATCTTCTAGCTACAATTGTTTACCAAATAATAAACGTACCTTTGGGTAAAGATCTGATTATGCATACTTCGAATAACTTCGCACAACCATTTGTACCAGTGCAATAAAAATGTAATTTAAGAAAATGTGAAGCAAAATCTAAACTCCACAGATCGCTAAGTTTTTAAAAGTTCTGTTAATTTTTGGGTAAGGAATAGATACAAAATGCATCCAAAGTACATACGAAATTACAGTTTGAAATTTATGCATAGTTGTGCGAAGTTATGCGAAGTATGCATAATCAGACCATAAGTTGTGCAAAGATTGGTGTCCAAAAACTTAAAATTGTGGTTTTTAATTCACCATGGAAGTCGGTGTTTCCAATATACAGGCTGCAGATATATCCCAG